TGCCTGCATCTTGGAGTGCCAGCCGTAGTGCCGATCTGGGCACGTGATCATACGCACTTGTGATGTCTAGCGATAGCTGGCAACCACCATAGAGACTGAGAGACGTGCTCCCTTGTCTTCGGGAGTGCAGTGTGGAGGCTTGTTGCTGAACCAGTCTCCTCACTTCAGCACAGTGCCCTATGACTCGCTCTAGCGCCTGGGCTAATGTCCGATGAGCCACGTACGCGTACTGTGGCAGGTTCTCCAGGTACTTGGAGACATAGGGTTGGAGACGACCTGCTACCACCGATGCTAACAGCTTGGCCTGTAAGCTCAACAGGCAGATGGGCCGGAGATGAGCTGGTGAGCGAAGTGGTTTATGTGGCTTCGGTAGAAGGATCAGCTCGCACACATTCCAATGCTCAGGTAGGGACTGGCAGCCCTCGGTGAGGTAGTAGTCGAACTGAAGCTTGATCGGGGCAATCGAGTCCTGATTGAACAGTTTCCACAAGATCGAGGGTGCACTTGATGATGGCATGGCCTTCCCTGATCTTAGTCTGCCAAAGGCGGCTGAGATCTCTGCCGTGGAGATGTTCAGGTCCTGCTGAAGCTGAGGCGGTTGATGACAGGGCGGGCCTGCATAGAGACTGGTGAAGTGGGTACGAATCTGATAGAATTCCTCCTCATGAGTCTGAAGACCTCCGTCAGGTTTGCGTAGTTGGAGTCTACGTCTCGGCACCTTGGGAGCGAAACGCTTGGCAGCCTTGTAAATATCTGTAGATTGGACCGCCTCGGCGACTTTGTTCGTCTTGCGCTGCCTGCATGCCTGCCGTAGGGCTCGCGTGTGTGCTTGCAATCTGGCTGCTAAGAACCAGGTCCGGAGCACTTGTGATGGCCGTGGCGCATGACAGGACCATTGATAGAGCTCCTGGCCCAGGCTTCGCAACTGACTCTTAATTTGCCACATTGTCTGAACCTGAAGGGTGAGCGGGCCTTCGTAGTCTTCGGCTTGTCCCGAGCCAAGGTTTTGACGAGAGGCGCCATGGTGGAGCTTGGTGTTGATCCAGCCTGACTCAAGGATGGTGTCTATCGATGAGGTGGCGGTCGCCGCCTGAAGGGCGGGAGCGGTGCGTTCCTGGAGGTGCTTGACGAAGTCTGGGTCCTGAAGGGATTTCCGTACCATGTGTGATGTGACCCTGCTCGAATCCGGAGCATGGTACGGCCTTCGGGGCATGGGTAGTTTGGCTGAGAGCGGTCGGTGTCGGCAGCCACTGTCTGGGACAAACGGCGCGTTGAAGGCAGCAGCTTGTTTGGACAGGTTATCAACCGTATGACCTCTGCCTATGATGAAGTCAATCTGGGTGCCTAGCTGGGTCTCGTCGGCTCCTGGGGAGAGGAACGTCCGGTTCTGGACTCCTTTCCTGTGCCAAGTGTTGAGTACACAGCATCTGTGGGCTCGAAGTATGTCCNNTCTGGATGAGGTGCGGTCGAAGACGAGGGGAGTCCTGCTCCACACGTGGGCGGGGCCTCGTGCACCGATAGGTTGAAGTCTCCTGCCACAGCGCAGCCATGTCTCTGTGGGACGGTGCTCAGCCACTTGTCTAGGCTATCCCACAATTGTTTGCGAAGGCGCAGAAGTGCATCTGTCTTGCTGGGTCCGCGAAGTGCCTTGCCTTGCAGGTTCCAAGCGTGTTGGTACATGCAAAGCAGGTCAAATGGTATGGGAAAGAGAAGACGAACATGTAGTAGACGGCCTGGGTGAAGACAAGAGGTGCGGATCTTGTCCGCCGAGATCAGACCTGAACGGATCATGCATAAGATGCCTGATTTATCTTTATTGGTGGAATGAACCACATGCCAATTGACCTGGCCGGCCGCTTCGAACGATGTCGTGTACTCGAGGTCCTCTTTCCATGATGTCTCCTGGATCACGCAGATGTCCACTGTTCTGTGGGCTTCATGCTCTAGTTGTAGCCAGGTAGTAATCTCACGGTAGTTGTGAGCTGCAAGTCCTCCTGCATTCCAGGATACGATGCGTAGACGGGGCTTGTCGGAGCGAAGCATGTGAGTGCTTGCTGTCGAATTTCGTGGGGCCTGTGATGCCAACTGGGATTCCAGACACATACGGCGGCCACGGTACATAGTGGTGTGATCTGCACTTAGGCGGGCTCTGTGAAGAGCTCGTCGAAAGGCTCGTTTACGAAATGGTTGGGAGTGTCCTTCGGGCCGGGCTGTGTGACTCCAGTCACCATAAAGCTTTGCCCTAGGATGAAAAATGGTGAGAGGCCGATTGTTGGCTTCAAGGTTCCCTTGGTGCACGGGAAACCTAACCCTCGCATCTGTTGCAGTAGCTGAGTTGATCATGTGAATGTAGAAGACGACAAGTGCAAGCCAATGTGGTTTGCAAGTGTATGTACTGCAACTCCGGGACTTGGGACCCGGACGGCTCCGAAATGGAGTGCTCGGACCAGGTAGATCGCGCCTGCCATCAGGGTGATCTTGTCTGGGCCATGGCATCAGTGGTGGGGTGATCCCTGTCTGTTTGAGTCTCCAGCCCCGGACTTGCAGGAGGCCCTGTCCAAGGGTGACCATATACCTGCAGAGGAAAGCCATGAGCAGCTGAGTGACTGCAAAGGACGATGTGATGAATGTTGCGTAAGCCACCGACCACAAAGTCAGCAATCTGGTCGATCTGTACCTGGCCATGCATGTGGTAGGCGCTGTTTGTGCTGCACGATCATGCAGTGTCCATGCGGAGGCAAGGTGGTCTGCCGTCTTGTTTTCCGACGTCTGCAGGCTCAGTACCGTGCGGGGCTTCATTGATGTCCAGGGCCCCATGCATCTTGAGAGCACTGTCATGATCAGATGTGTGCAAACTGGAAGAAAGATTGCTGTCGGTCGTCCTACGCCCGAGGGTGACAACTGATCTCTACAGCCTGCTTGGCTCATGTACAGCCTGTCAGTCGTTCCGTCCTCGCCTGGGTCAGGGGATGATAGACTGGTTTGTTTGGCTGTGGTGCGGGTCTGTTGCTTCTGCAGAGAATGAGGGCCGCGCTTGCGGTTGATACGGGGTTTCGCTGCAGGCGTGGAGCTCTGTGTCATTCCTGCAGGTGTCGGCGCTGGTGGTCCTGAGGGGGATGCCGAAGAAGAGATTGGTCCTGTAGTTGGTGCAGCCTCCATGGTTGCCGGGGTGGTCGAGGGGCCGGAATGTGCTTCTGCCATCTCGTCGATCTGGTTGAGGTCGCGTAGAGATCCTTCTGCGGCCAGGACATCCATGGCCTCGTTCAGCTCAGACTCCGTGGCGCGGGGTGCATCGTCATGAGTGTCCGCCAAGGGCTCAACCGGTGTGGACGGTGGACTGACTCCTCGCTGATTATAGACTCCGCTCGGTGGGGTGTCCTCGCCGACCCACAGAAGGTGGGGATGGAATCGGTCGGATGGTCGCATCGGCCGTAGTTCAAGAACGATGCCTTCTTGGTCGCTCCAGTTCCAGCCTGGGTGGGTGAGCACCTCGCGGAGGTTGGCGCCGCCCATGGACTGAATCACCTCACCGACTGCCGAAGAGATGTGGAGCGAGACGTCTCTTAAGTCCGTGATCGGCCGTGGCGGGGGTGGGCCTTTGGGCGGAGAGCCAGGGTGCTCCGATGCAGTGGAGCCCTCTGAGATGAGGGGATCCGGCACCGGTGAATCTCCATCCTTGTCGGCATAGTCCATCCTTCCAATTGTGGACAGCTGCTGAGTTTGAGCCCGCGTGGGAGGGGTCAAGTGAGTCATGTCTCTATATACTTGCCACATCCGCTTGAGCTGCAGCAAGCTGATGACCAACGCATTAAGTAGGTTGCAATTATGCATGGGGCACGCGACGGCCGTCTTGTGGGGCATGGTTGATCGAAGATGTCTGC